CACGTCAGGGACTCGCCCATTAGCAGCCCATGTGTGTTGCATGGGAATCCAATTCCATACATATGAAGCCTGTTGTACGTGTAGGAAAAGGAACAATGCCCTAGGTAATTGTTATAAAGTATATGATGTATGCGGCCATGAGCTGCCATAATCAATGAGATAGACTCTTCTTCTTGTGGGCGTAAGCCTCACCACATTGGTGAGGAAGAACCATGTTAAAATCGTCTTGTCTACAATCCTCTAAATATTTTCATCTTTAACTATTAGCAACTTGTTTTCTGGCTCCTTTGGCAAAAAAGAAATATCATTCTGCCCACAATCGCTTAACTGCAGATATTCATCTGTTACAGAAGCTAGATAGCAGAGTACAACCTAGGATAGTGAGTCAAGATATTAATACCGCCTATCTGATCATGTTAGGTAAGGCAATTAACTACAAAGAAAGAAAATTCTTTGAAAAATGAACATATATAAGATTTGATGGCGAGGACGAGTGAGATGCATGAATGAGAATGACTTAAGTTTTTAGTGAAATGATCTTTTCTTGTCGAGCAGGATACCATTAATAGCTGACTAATTGACTCCATATGGATCCTTTTCTCGAATTACTAAGTGCAATCAACTAATGTGTGAGCCCCGCCTCACTGTCAATCCTCCTAAAGAGATGAGATGACATAAAGCCAGGAAAATGAACTTGCATACCATGTAACTCTCCCATCTCAAATGTCGACAGCTTGATAGAACAATAAATTGAGATAGAGAGCAAATATTTCTCAGTACCTGCTTACCGACTCATTGTGCTCTTGGCCTTGTCTCTTCCCTCACTCTCTTTTCATTCCTCCTGCACCAGTACAGAAATGGAGGGTTTCATGACAAAAAGGCTATTGTGCCTCAGGTTGAACATGCACCAAATGGTTCCGGGAAAGTTGAAGCATGAACTGTAAGTGTTCACTAGCTGTGATACAGGAAGGAGCAAAGTTACTGCGATCAAGTGCAGGAGATGGCTATGGTTCTCCATTCATACTCCGCTGGAGTAGAAATATATTTTAGGGGGACAAGTCATACGTCTTGTTGCCATGGAATTAGGGTAGATATAGGTTGTTTGGTGTGGTGAGGCTATAGGTTCTGCACAATATCATGGTTTGGAACGTAGGCCCAAGAGGTTTCCCATCACACAAAGGGGCCGTTATACATCCACACAAAGAACAATTGCATCTCTCAGGTCTGAAACATTTCACTTCTTAATGTTCTGCAGCAGAAACATGAAAGGTTGAAGAAGACATTTTTCCTGCTAGAGTTGTTTCTCAACGTCACAAAAGTAGCAAATATCTTTATTTATGTAGATGTTTCAAACACTTGGCGTATTTTTCTGCACATCCTACGGCATCTGAAGTATAACCTGTTTACTCTAGCTCTGAGATGATACCAACCCTCCCTATATATTCATGGAAAGACAAGCACCGGAAACTTATAGAAGTTGCACGTATGAGAAAGATAGACTATTCATGGAAACGCAAAGAAAAAGGGTTTTAAGATGTAGTCGTGGTCTCGTGGACTGGACTCAAGATTTCACTTCAGAAACTGGAAGAGTTCTTCGGCTACAATGAAGGATAGACTTCTTGTGGCAAAAGACCACTTGGAACCTCAATAAATTTAGCCACCCCACCCACTGGCTCCTCTGAGTGCTTCCATCTCTGCTTTAGATCTCCTTGGAGATCCTTTAGATGACACGACAAGAACTGGGATCTTCCCATCTGACCTAGCAAACAAGTCCAGGAACTCTTCTCCAGAATGAACTGGGTCAAGCAGGCCAGTCAAGAACGCTGAAGGTGCATAACAAGCACCATGTCTCTTCGCACAACTTCTTGAGTCACATTGTCTGGATCAGCATATACATGGGATTTGTACTGGGATTGGATGGCCTTCTCGTTTCTGGCAATCACATTATACATCATCCAACCTTCTCCAAGTGCGCACGTGCCCCTAAGTAGATCATACCTGGTAAATTGACAAAAAGCTCCATCTGGTTTAGTTCCTCAAACAATGAAACCAAAGTCCATTTCTAGAAAATAAGTTCTTGGAACTCCAACTCGCAGCGTTCAAGAACATAAAACATAATTCACACATGATTGATCCCTTGACTCCATATTGAGTCACGACTCACGACCAAACACAATAGGCAGCGGACCACCCCAGGTTGGTGCAACTGCTGCAATAGCTGCTGGCTTCACCAACCCCTTCTTTGTAGCACGAACTAGAATCGTGGCAGTATGCCCTCCACCAAAGACCACCAAATCATTTGCTAACTAGCAATATAAAAGATTCAGTAAGCTATCTTGCTCAATGAACTTTCCAATCAGAAGTTTGCAGCAAGTAGTCCATAAGAGGTTCTGTGAAAGACTTGCGAGAAAAGAATTTCTGAGAAAGCAATTTATGACACTGGAATGTAGAGCCAAGAACATTAGCTACTAAGTGTACTTATTGACTAATGAGGGAATAACAGATATAGTCAAAAGTCCAAATTGGTTTCAACTACCATGAAGTTTCATTATCTGTATCTATGCTACATAAAAGAAGAAAAAAAGTCTACCAGTTGAAGCAAGGATTCCAACAGAAATACAGCAGTAGGCAATTCCAGAAAATCATGCAGACACCAAGCTAGACCAACGTTTAGTAATAAATGTGTTTTGCCGGAAACATCAATGAATATGGTGAATTGAGCAAATTAATACATGGAGATTTAACTTTTCAATTACCTGAGTTCTTAAGTGGAATATCAGGCAAATTCACGAAATCAAACATTCCATGCCATCAGTGAACGCTACCCAATTGAATAATATCGAAGCACACAAACCTTTAAATCCACCTCATAGCAACTAGTTACACGTTACCAGAAAACAGACAATTTCTAAATGATTGCACATTGACATTGCAGTTATCTCTATCACGCACCTGAGAGTAGAAGAACAATCAATGTGGCAAGTTCTTATAACTAGACATAAACTAACCAAATCCAAAGCCCCCTAAAATGCAATACCAAAGCCACACTCTTCCATAATATATCACCCATTCAAGGGTTTGGAGTGGCTTACATTCAAGGGTTTGGAGCAGTGTTATTAAAGTCGAGCCGAGCCGCTCGGTCCGACCGGTAAAACCGCCACCCAGTCACAAAATCGGCTCGGAACAGTCTAAAGGCCGCTCCGGTTTTATGTAGCGGTTGGCGAGCGGCCGAGGCGGTTAGCCGTTCGAGCCGATCGAGCCGCTCGTCCGGTTTTTGCCATTCAACCACTAAATTTAATTCAAAAAATTGTAGAAAATTGAAAATTGAAAAAAACCAAAAACATTGGGCTCTCAAATTGAATCCTTATTTCCATTTCACAATTTCGAAGGAAAGAGATGAGCTCTGATTATGTCCACTATTTATACTGATAGCGTTTATTAGGTACCAGTTCTCTAACTGTTTTTAAACGGTCTAATGCCGGTTGGACCACTAAAGTGCGAGCCATTCGCATTACCGGGTCATGCTCCGGTTCGGTTCTGACAACATTGGTTTGGAGGGCTTATCTGTGACGGAGCTGCAGAGTAACCAACTACATGTCAAGAACCAGTTGATCCCAATAACTCGAGTTGTTGGGAGAGGTTCAATCTTGAATCATATATCACACACTAACACGTCTCTTCAAACGAAATCACACAAGGATTTGAAGTTTGCACATGTTCTAATACCATGTGCTTAACAAATGGGATCACCGGAAATCGAACACAAGACCTCTCGATCATAAAAGACTTGATACATGTCAAGAATTCTTGACACTACAGAAGAAGCTTTGATAAGTGAAATAGGCCGACGGAGGCAAGCATCTGTGTCAGAGATTGCTAGTAGCTGGCCCGAGAACCGGGGAGACGAACAACGCTGAAGCGGGGGACATGATTTTCTCCGGTTCAAAGACATACGATTGTTGATTCCAGACGAAAAAGAAGGAAGAAGTTCAAGGTTTCAATGGAATGGGCAGGACTCGGGAGAAAGAAAAATCTGCCTTTTGTTTTTGTGTTTGTTAGGGGTGTTCAAACGGTTTGGTTACCATGGTAACCATTTTAATCGATATTATTTGGATAATTTGGTTTGGTTAATTTGGATAATTGGTTCGGTTTGGTTAAAGTTTTTAGCTTGTTTGGTTTAGGTGGTTTGGTTTGGTTTCAGACACTCCTAACCAATCAAACCAAATTAACCAGTTAAGTAATTAGTCATATATCTAACATATATTATATACACATACTTAATACTTTGCATAACCAGTCAAGAGTTAACGTTCATCCCTTTTCAACTCATAAAATATAAAGCTCAATATTGCTCATATAGTGTATGTAAAATGTATATGTAAAATGTAGACCACAACATATGGACGCCTAATTTAGATAAATTTCATACAATATGATGGATGAAAACTTGAAAGGAAAGTTATTTCCCGCCTATGATAATTGCTAAGAGACTAAGTCAATTTACACAAACACAACAATTCATTAACCCATACCATTGTCATAAATTTTTGTTAGGTGAATACTTCTATACTAATCGTAAGATAATTGTCTTAGTTGCATGTATTTTGTTAAGGGTCAACTATAACTACGTGTTGATTGTTATGTTTTATTCATTATTTTTGTTAAGGGTCAATGATAATGTGATTTTATATTGGTTAATCTGGTTAACCAATTAACCAAACCGATTAAACTTTAGTTTGGTTAATTTGGTTGTTGTATTAGTTTGGACGGTTTGGTTATGATATTTTATTTCATGGTTAATGGAATTTAGCTTTATTTGGTTTGGTTATAACCATGGTAACCATTTGAACACCCCTACACTGCCGTTTGTGCTTCCGGAGGGAATTTCTGGCTTGTTCTGCTAATTTTGGGCTTTTGGAACTAATGGGGCTGGCGGCTTGAATTACCGGTAGATCCAGTCCATGAAAATAATCCTATGGGCACCCAAAGCCAAAAGCCCAGGAACTCACCTCGTCTCCAGCAGTCCAGTCCAGTCTGTTGCCGAAAAATTAAATCTCAGCCGTGATATGTTAAAACAACAACAGCCGTCCGATCTAGGGCTTCCGTTCCAAAGGCTCTCGCCTCTCTGCAGGGGATAATATTCTGCCCTTGCTAGCTTCCGCCCACTTCTGTGTTGCAGCCGAGAGACGGAGGAAGAGGAGAAAGGTAGAAGAATCGAAAATGGTGCAGCGTCTCACTTACCGCAAGCGCCACAGCTACGCCACCAAGTCCAACCAGCACCGAATCGTCAAAACCCCAGGTAATGGCTTGCTCTGTCTCATGTTCCCCGCTCGTTGAACCCTAGTGGGGCTCGAACCCTCCTATTTGCTGCTGCTTCCGTGTAATTTTCTCGAATTCTCTGATCCATTCTTTCGATGAAATTCAGGTGGGAAGCTTGTTTACCAGACCACCAAGAAGAGAGCCAGTGGACCTAAGTGCCCCGTTACTGGGAAGAGGATCCAAGGGGTAAGTACTTACTGGATATTTGTGCTTTTGATTCCTTGCTTCTTTGTTGACGAGGAGGAGACACCCCGATTCGGCTTGTAGTTTGTTACTTTTCGGATTTTTTTCATTTGGCTACACAGTTCTACGTTCTTGGGTTTATGGAAAGCAGTGATGATGTTAAGGAAGTATTGTCTCGTGATGGAGTGTTGGATTTGATACTTCCAATAAATTCACGAGCAATCTCTATAATGCGTGCCTGAACAATCTTCCTTTCGATATAGAGTCCAGTCGTTGAAGTCAAGTCTTTGTTAAAGCTGTTGACCTATAGATTGGTAGATAGTTGTCTTTCTTCTTCTACCAGTACTGGTAGTGTAGGTACTACATGATGTGAATTGTTCATGGGTGTCTGAAGTTCTGCATTGTTAGGTTTTCTATTTTATGCCTGTCAAATGCTCGACATCTTCATTCGCCATACTCCTTTCATGGTCAAACAATCTAGTTTTCAACATTGTTTTTGTTGTTTTAGGATGATCTCACTTCAACGGTGAACCTTCCAGCCATCCTGGACCTTTCTTGAATTTATCTTACTGTATGCCAGGCATTTATATCGTCATTATTTGGACTTTTATGTTTTTATTGTTCTAGTAATGAACTTGATCTTTCCTTTTCTGAAGGAGATTCTGATTCAAATTATGCTTCTGTGTTTACAGATTCCACACTTGAGGCCTGCTGAATACAAGAGGTCTAGGCTACCAAGGAACAGGAGGACTGTGAACAGAGCATATGGTGGTGTTTTATCTGGAGGTGCTGTAAGGGAGAGGTGTGTTTCGTACTCAGTTTTTTCTTTCAATCTCTTCTGTTTGTTGTCTCTGTTATGGATAATGGTTTACATGCTGTGCATGGGTAGAAGTTGTTGGTATCTTCATTACGTTTTTTGGTTGTTTGTAGGATCATAAGGGCATTTTTGGTGGAAGAGCAGAAGATTGTCAAGAAGGTGTTGAAGATTCAGAAGACAAAGGAGAAGCAGTCTTCAAAGGCCTAGATCAGCTCCTTAATATGAGATGAATGTTTGGATTATTTGCTTATGGTTTTTATCCTAATCAAATTTTGAGTAAACAGATGTGAGTTTTGATGGATTTTATACACCCGATCACTGACTTGTTTCACTTTGGCTGCCGTCTATATTAAGTAGCATTTGTTTCAACTGCACTTCATTAGTTTAAACATCAGCCATGTTTGGGAAGTTATCTTCCCTGAAATTTGAAATTTCATGGTGGGCAACACTATTTGGTCCATGGTTTGAATCGATATTTGCTTGGATCAGATTTGAACATAGTCTGTCCCTTTTAGGTTTCTTGTTGAATCTCGTTTTTGAAGGATACTATCAAAATCGTGGAAACGGGTGAATTCCATATTAATCATGGTAAAGGAAACCGTACCGGACATCATACCGGATTCCTTTCTGGTATGGTATTTTATGGTACGATCGTGGTTCAACCGTTTTGTACCGGTAAATACCGTTTTTCACTATTGATAGAGAAATGAAATGCGATAGTATAAAAAATATAATCCATAAAAAAAAGAACCAAATAGAGCATTATACAACTACGGTGACCCATTTTCAACATAGAAAAATAGCAAAATAATATTCTTTTTTAATTATTTTCCACATATTGGACGAGAATACATAGAAATGAAGCTGAATCATAGACCAGGAAACCGGATTGTACCGGCCGGTTCAACCGGTCAAACCGAAAAAACCGCCGGCACGGTAAAATCAGCACAATCAGCCCACCGTACCGCTTTTGGTCCAATTTCCGGTTGAAACCGACCGGTACGATCCGGTTTCCTGGTCTATAATATTAATATGTTTACTAGCGTGGCCCTGGCCATTTGACCAAAGGAAGGTGGGGTATGAAATGATGGCCCGAAGGAAGGTGGGGTATGAAATTTGATAATGTAATAGGGTGTACAGCTTATTGTTGTATAGTCTTTTTGGGGGAAATACCTGATAAAATAGTGAATTTTAGTAGGAAAGAGACCTGAATGATGTAATGAATCAAAAATCAACCTTATGAACCAAAATCAAGTACCTGTTATCTTGTGAAACAATATTGTTTCTGGTAATATGATGAGGTGGAGTAAGTTTTATAGAAACCGAATACCAGAAAATCGAATAAAAATCGTCTATCCCGCCGGTTTTCGGGAAATGAGCATCTCACAATCGTTGCTAGCTTTTACTCGGTCCGTTGGCCGATTAATTTGCTTTATAAAACTTTCATCTTGTCATCATTGTGCTTTCTGGTTTTTTGCCAAGCCATGATAAAATCTAATGAAATCAAGAATGAACAACACGATTTGGGATATGAACCACCGTTCCTGTATCCCTAGAAAATGGTGGTAAACACGGACACCTGTCAAACTGGTTTGGATTGAGATTTTTATCGGGTATCAGGGAACCATGTGATTATAAATTAGACTTGACCAAAACGGGCCAAAACTTGAAATTCAACATGTTTGACCGACCCATGCCAAACTCTAATTATTCTTTACTTTTAAACTTTCTATTTGAAAATAAAAAATAATGAAAGAAAAGAGATGACTGCAATTCACCATTTGCACATCACTGATTCGGGAATAAAACTATAGAATTTCGAAAGGAAACTAAAAATGTTTATGATCGTTTTAATGTTAAAAATAACCAAATAGATATTTCTGTTTAGTTTTTTACTAACAAATACCAAATGATTTCCTATAATATACACTATAATTTAATCATTATGATATCAAATAATTACATAATATATTTGAAATGATAAAAATTGGGGTTGGTCGAGGTTGAACCATTGAATAACTTTAAAATACATTATATTTTAACCACTACGATATAAAATAATAACATAATATATATTATGTTAGAGAAAATAACTTGTTTTAGAATGACAAACCCATGATGTTCATTTGTTTTACTTGATGGGCAAATCCCGTGTAGGTCTGGTCCATTCAACTCTTTTATTTTATGATTAGCGGTTAGCCCATTAGAATTCATGCATTAGTTTATTGTTAATTTTTTCTAGCAATAAAAAGGATTATTGTTTTTGCCTTTTCATATATATTTTACCACCACGGAGAAATAAAAGGACTTAACGAAAAAAATTGATACTCCTAGACCCGTTTAAATCTGCATGTGTACGGTAAGTTGGCCCGTTCCACAGAGAAAAAAGGAAAAAATTGGCACTCCCTAGTCTACCCTTCCTACAAACGCTCTTGGAGCAGGGAATTTGAAATGGGGGAAGGGTTTTTTTCCTCTCTGCGATGATATGTTTTCAATTTAAAAAGTTACAACAAATGTACTTAGTGTGATTGGTTATGATCTTTGTTTTTTTTTTAAGTGGTCATGGTTCGAATCCCAGTAAGTGTCTTTTTAATGAATAAAAAAAAAGTAATTGTGAAGACCAAAATGTCCTTCCTACTTTCACTCTGGATGCAGGAAATTTGAAATGGGGCTTCAAGTTTTCTCATTTGACTTTTATTTATTGTGTAGATTCGCTAGAAAAAATTAATATAAATTTTGGTCACTCGAATTACTAAAACATGTCATATTAGTCACTCTTACATTAGTCTTCGTTCAACTCCGGTCACTCGAATTACTTTTTTTTATGAATGTCATCGAATTACTGAAACATGTCATATTTAGTCAGAGTTGAACTGAAACTAACGGGAGAGTGACAAAATGTGACATGTTTCAGTAATTCGAGAACCCAAAATTGATATTAATTCTTTTTAGTGATTAAACATGACATGATTTAGTAATCTCAGTGATCAAATGTGGCACTTACCCAATAAAGCTTGAGATTCTTTGGTCTTTGGATCTATCAGCAATTAAGCAGCGAACTATAGTATATAGAGGTGGAAACTGGAAATTGGGTTGGGGCGGTTTTGTGGTTAACCACAACTATAAATATAGAATTACGCTACTATCCACAATTCACACCACTCCTCACTATGGGTTGGTGCGAGTTAGATGCGGATACCCACAAAAGTTTCATTATTGAATATAGTAATATGGTAATTAAATATTGGGGTAAATGTCACATTTGGTCACTGGGATTACTAATCATGTCATGTTTAGTCACTAGAAAAAATTAATATCAATTTTGGTCAATCAAATTACTGAAACAGGTCACATTTACTCACTCTCTATTAGTCTCCGTCCAACTCTGTTTACAAAGTCTGTTATGTGCTGACATAACTAACTTGAGCGCCTAGCCAGCGCCATTTTGGGCCAGAAATGGTCAAACTCGACCCGTCACGTCGCTAAACCCGCCATGTCATACATCCAACCCAACCAATGAACCAAACCCGACCCACGTAACAAAAGCAAACCTACCATCTCTTTCCTCCATCCTCATCTCCCAATTCCCTTCCTCCTGTGCACAGACATCGCGTCCTTTCACTGCAGTTGTCAGACCGACGAACCCTAACCACTCGTCTGCGAGCCCTACCCTGTGCCATTCCTAATCAACCTCTCCAACGCCGCCGGCTTCGACTGAGTCTCCGGCGAGCTGTACGCCGTCTCTGCCCAAGGACTCGTCCGCCTAGAAGAGCTCTAGGGTATGGCGCGCGGTCACTACGAGCCTTTGCCGATCATAGTGGTACCCATTGACGGGGGAGGAGGAGAGGAAACCATCGTTTATGTGGAGGTGTATTTCGGCATATGACAGTACACAACATCAATGAACAGTTCTGGTAATCCATCCGGGGTGATCATCATAGATACCCGCCGCTGACCCCTATGCCAACACCTCAAGTGACTCGTGCTGAACCCAACCCGCCACCGCCGCATAACAGAAAGCAAAACAAGGCTGTAGGGGACCAACCTCATGTGCGCGAGATCAAGCCGCTAGAGACGTGACGCGTGCCTGCTCCTTTGGAGGTGTTCCGAAATGAAGGGCCAAGTACTTAGTACGATCCCCGCTCGGGTTTTCACTATGAGCCTTGACCGAGTACTTTCTACGACCAGAGTATTCAGTACGATCCCCGACCAAGTTTCCCCTACGATCCAAGTACTGAAAATGATCCTGGACCTGATTTCCACTACGAGCCCCGACCGAGTACCACCCCCGACCAGGGTACTTACTACGATCCCCGGCCGAGTTTTCAGTACCATCCCCGACCGAGTACTTTCAATGGCACCTCCTCAGCTACTTGGAATGATGGTTCCTCCTCGTCTGCCTAACAAGACTTCCAGCCGTTGCACCAACCTCAACATCAATGGCAGAACACTCCCCACTTTCTGAGCGCGATGGGAGCCGTCACCGCACGGAGGAGCCACCTAGCACAGCCCAACGGCGACATAGTACGGACCAGCGCCAAACTTTGGTGAATCGACCTTTGCCATCGCCTCCGGCCACAGTTACGCCCGCCGGACCCATCGCCCATCGAACAAGGAGGCAAAGGGCGAATCGTCGAGCTACACTAATGCATGAGTGTGTCTTCCTATTTGAGTTGTGATTATTTAAGTGGAATAAGTTGTATTTATTTCAAGTTAATGTTGATGGACTCAAGTTATGTTTTAGTTGATTTATGGAGTGTGTTTATGTGAGTGATATGTTGGCTAAACAAGTTGGACTAATGCGACAAAATGTGATTTATTTTGCAAAACTACAATGACTCGTACCTCACATAAAAGGCAACTACATAACCACATAAATGAATACAAACTACGAACTATATAAAAATCCATGCACCGTCATCCGGGTCACGACGTCAGCCCCTGGGTTTTGAGGATGGAACAAGACATTTTTGTTTGTCATGCCCTCGCGGTAGTCTTCCACTTTGATCCATCTCGTTTGGAATCCACTTTACTCGCAGCCGACCTGCTTCACGCCTTAGTATGATTGGTGGAATGACGACCTTTCCTTCATACACGGGCCAATAGGCTTCATCAGGAAAAGCACGAAAACTCCTGGCATAAGAGTTTTTTTGTGAGTCGATGTTGAAGAACGGACTAACAAAGTGACGAGGGTCTTTGCTCTTGTGTTTGATTACAACCATTGCATGAGAACAAAGGAAACCTCTCCTCTAATACTTCTGACAAGAGCACTCCCCTTTTTTTTCGGAAGTTGACCTTGACTTAATGACGATGACCCCCATGTCTCCCATCCTCCTAGTGACCGGTCTCGACTGAATACTCGCCAACATTTTGATTCATAACGGTCACAGTGTGCCGAGAGCTCTTCCGATTGTCTTTTTCCATTATTTCTGAGGCTTTATCGGAGTGTGCCTCCCTCTTTGCAGCCCAGTGGAGGCGATTGAAAAACCATTGGTTCTTTTTCCCG